TTTCAACGAGTAACGAGTGCTCGAAAGTGACGAGTAAACGCTAGCTACGACTAGTTTATTATCTAGTTGGGTTAAATCCTGAAAGAATTACGCGACGAGAAGTTTTCAACGAGTAACGAGTGCTCGAAAGTGACGAGTAAACGCTAGCTACGACTAGGATATTATCTAGTTGGGTTAAATCCTGAAAGAATTACGCGACGAGATGTTTTCAACGAGTAACGACTGCTCGAAAGTGAAGAGTACACGCTAGCTACGACTAGGATATTATCTGGTTACGTTAAATCCTGAAAGAATTACGCGACGAGATGTTTTCGACGAGTAACGAGTGTTCGAAAGTGACGAGTAAACGCTAGCTACGACTAGGATATTATCTAGTTGGGTTAAATCCTGAAAGAATTACGCGACGAGATGTTTTCAACGAGTAACGACTGCTCGAAAGTGAAGAGTAAACGCTAGCTACGACTAGGATATTATCTGGTTACGTTAAATCCTGAAAGAATTATGCAACGAGAAGTTTTCAACGAGTAACGAGTGCTCGAAAGTGACGAGTAAACGCTAGCTACGACTAGGATATTATCTAGTTGGGTTAAATCCTGAAAGAATTACGCGACGAGAAGTTTTCAACGAGTAACGAGTGCTCGAAAGTGACGAGTAAACGCTAGCTACGACTAGGATATTATCTAGTTGGGTTAAATCCTGAAAGAATTACGCGACGAGATGTTTTCAACGAGTAACGACTGCTCGAAAGTGAAGAGTACACGCTAGCTACGACTAGGATATTATCTGGTTACGTTAAATCCTGAAAGAATTACGCGACGAGATGTTTTCGACGAGTAACGAGTGCTCGAAAGTGACGAGTAAACGCTAGCTACGACTAGGATATTATCTGGTTACGTTAAATCCTGAAAGAATTATGCAACGAGAAGTTTTCAACGAGTAACGAGTGCTCGAAAGTGACGAGTAAACGCTAGCTACGACTAGTTTATTATCTAGTTGGGTTAAATCCTGAAAGAATTACGCGACGAGAAGTTTTCAACGAGTAACGAGTGCTCGAAAGTGACGAGTAAACGCTAGCTACGACTAGGATATTATCTAGTTGGGTTAAATCCTGAAAGAATTACGCGACGAGATGTTTTCAACGAGTAACGACTGCTCGAAAGTGAAGAGTACACGCTAGCTACGACTAGGATATTATCTGGTTACGTTAAATCCTGAAAGAATTACGCGACGAGATGTTTTCGACGAGTAACGAGTGCTCGAAAGTGACGAGTAAACGCTAGCTACGACTAGGATATTATCTGGTTACGTTAAATCCTGAAAGAATTATGCAACGAGAAGTTTTCAACGAGTAACGAGTGCTCGAAAGTGACGAGTAAACGCTAGCTACGACTAGTTTATTATCTAGTTGGGTTAAATCCTGAAAGAATTACGCGACGAGAAGTTTTCAACGAGTAACGACTGCTCGAAAGTGAAGAGTACACGCTAGCTACGACTAGGATATTATCTGGTTACGTTAAATCCTGAAAGAATTACGCGACGAGATGTTTTCGACGAGTAACGAGTGTTCGAAAGTGACGAGTAAACGCTAGCTACGACTAGGATATTATCTAGTTGGGTTAAATCCTGAAAGAATTACGCGACGAGAAGTTTTCAACGAGTAACGAGTGTTCGAAAGTGACGAGTAAACGCTAGCTACGACTTGGATATTATCTAGTTGGGTTAAATCCTGAAAGAATTATGCAACGAGAAGTTTTCAACGAGTAACGAGTGCTCGAAAGTGACGAGTAAACGCTAGCTACGACTAGTTTATTATCTAGTTGGGTTAAATCCTGAAAGAATTACGCGACGAGAAGTTTTCAACGAGTAACGAGTGCTCGAAAGTGACGAGTACGCGTTAGCTATTACTATGTTATTATCTTAAATGAATCACGAAACGAGAAGTTATCAACGAGTGCTCGAACTTTAATATTGTCTAGTAAATATTCTTAATTCATATAATAGTTACTTTAATACATTTACCGGACCGATATTCAAATATTCTGTTCAATTTGTTGGATATGAAACACGCAACGAACGGAACCCCAAGTAAGGGCTCGAACCGAAAATGTATGTCGGTCTTGCTGCCATGACACATATATATATATATTCGAAAATTCATAAATAACGATCAAAAACGAATTCTTAAAGTAATCTAGAGTTGAGTACACGTTAATTACTGCTATGCTGAGAAAGGATTGTATTTAGAGTACAAATAAATATAGAAAGAGTGCACGTTAGCTGGTATACTTAGCGAGTTCCGAATAAGAGCTAGCAGGTATACTTGACGAGTGACGAGTAGAAACTAGTTGTTATACATAAAGACTGACGAGTAGGAGGTTGATGGCTACTAGCCGAGCTCCGAATGAAAGCTAGTTGGTGTTCAGTTTACCAACAAAGGGACGAGTAGGACCTAGTTGGTAGCTTAGCTACTGGTGACAAGAAGGAGCTATTTGGTTATTAATCAAGTGACGTCTAGTTCCTCAAAAACTATAACTAAGATTGGGTATCCCACATGCATATATGTACATACATATATGCATATGCTTATATAATGCTAGTTGCTAATCTGTATGCATCCATATTGTAATAATTTAGACTATGAGGGGGCAACTGCTGAAAATGTAAATGCATTCGACTCAATTTAATGTAATCGCTGCCAATTGCCCAGCGGTGGCTGAAAGTGAAAGTGCTAAAATCGTGCGTCCGTCGGGTTGTTATTGATAAGGACGGTCAGGGAACTTTCGGGGTGATGGCACTGCCCGGGCAAATTAATTCATGTTATTTGAGCGATAATCGCCACTTGAAATAGCGCTCAATGGGGGTAGAATACTATACGACATAAAAATAACACTCAGATCTTTATCGGATGGTTCCATATAAATGTAAATGTGTATATCTGTGTATATATCTGTGTATATATGTATGTATGTATATCTAGACCACTTGACTAGTGCTATAGTACGATCTATATACGTATGTACATATATACAGGCTGATTGATTGCCCAAATGGGCATATGTTCAAGTGCCCGGACGTGTGCTTATCAATAATCAGCAACTTAATCGACGCTGTGAGGGCGGGAGGTGGGTGAACGGGAAGTTAAAATATGGCTAAAATGCACATATCGCGATTTTCTGGGTAGTATATATAATTTCCAGCGAATTCTTTTTTAAGAACTTGAATTTTGAGCCTGGCAATGAAAACCCAAATGGAATGTCAGCAAGTAAATGTGCTTCACAAGGGATACCTTAAATGATGCCCAGCCCAATCAATAGCTACCTTGCCTCACCCGGTTTATGAATGTTTCAACAACAACAACAACAACAACAGCAGCAGCAGCACATGCCGCAGGAAAGGGCAGACAACTGAAGCTAACCGGCTAGAACTGATTCCGGTTACGGTGCGTGCGCAGTGGAAATTTTTACAAAAACGACACAAATGCTGTGGGGGGTCGAGAAGCTGCCGACTCAGGCGATACGAGGAAAGAAAAGCGAATAACAACAACTACGAATAAGCATCCGCAAGGCAATTGACATTGACTTTGCGTTTTGTAATGGGACTGCAATAGAAACAAACCGAAATGTTGTAATATTATTTAACCGCCTTAACATAACCTCAAACAGCCGTGACAAGAGAGATAGAGAGAGATGCAGAGAGAGGAAGAGCGAGAGCGAGAGCGCGCGACCTGAGGTTGGGAGCGACCTTGTGCTGCGTGTGTGTGGGCGTTTTTGTCGGCGTGGGCAGCTCACAAATGTCAAACTCTCAAAATTAGGTGAAAGGACATTGGGTGGCGCCATGACGTATGTGGCAATGCCGTTTGTGTAATCGCTTCTATTAAGTGAACCAACCCATCCACATGAATGACACATTTATATGTGCCTACATTTGTATTGTTTTTTATTGAATTGCCATAAAGCATCCATATATATTTTAAGAAATTTGCTTTACACTCTTTTTACACTCATCTAGAGTGCGGCACTCCTGACGGACGGGCCTTTGTTCGGCCTGAGCAATGGATTGCCCTTGAGTTTGTCCTTTTCGAGCGCCGACGCAACAACGGCCGCTGCGGCGGCAGCGGCGGCAGCAGCGACAGCGGCAGCACCAACTGTTATACGGCGCGCGTGCAAACTGGTTTGCTGTGCCTGTGTTCGTATAACAACGCCCACTAATATACATATGTATATGAATGGAAAACATCGCGGTGTGCGTGTGTGTAGGAGGCTCGTCGCCGGCACTCATAAACAGTGTTGCGCAATTTTGCCCCGTTAGAAGCGGCTACAACGTTACCAGAGGAATCTCTGACCGTAAAAGTATTTATATACAATCGATTGACACAATTTATTTCTGTATGCCGGTTGACCCACCTATGTAATGCCGTAAATAGCTGTTTATTTTAAGAAGCGCCGACTCTACTTTTCAGATCATTTGATGGGGATGAAATTACGCTGATTGAATTACAAATGTACATAGTGAGTTACAGCTAAACCGGAAATGGCGAAAAATTCCAATTGGAAATATAATATGGGTAAATTCACGGTAATGCACGTTATTGTATATAGTCGTACGTCAGTAATATAAAGTAAACAACAAAGAATGCCAGTTTAATATAGGTGAGAGCCGTCGGTGGTGTGGCAATACGATATAACAAAATCAACAGTGATAGGTTACTTGACATAATGTACATTTTTCGTCTACTTCTATGAAAACCTAAAAGTCTACAAAAATATGGTTTGGTTTAGGTTTGGGCTCGGATTTCAACCCAACTTATGTTCGATTCATGATAAATCAAAAATTATAGTTTCGGGCTAAAACAGTCTCCATTCTAAACCATTTTGCAACCTGTGTATTTATATTTGATAGCGAAACTTTTTGATGATATCGTACAGCGATTTCTTCTTTATTTATAAACATTGCAATTCAAACAAAATTCAAATTAACGAACGCCATTGAAGTCTGACAGAGCTGCCAGATCACACGAAAATGTACAAAACAAAGCATAGACTGCTCAACACTGGTTGCGAGCAGCTATATATCTATCGCTTATCGGCCGCCAACAGCTGAGCAGTTGACGAAAACGCGAGGGGCCGCCTGCTTATAAAACACCATGTCTTTTAGTAATTTATTAATGAAAACCGGCGTAAATGGCGGTTTATGCGGCACACAAACCACAGCGCTGCTGCTACTCAATATGAGCACGCGTCAGGGGCACACGCTGCGCGGCAAGCCGCCCGGTGTGGCACGAACGCTGGAGCAACGGCTGCGAGGTATGTGCAATTGATGTAACCACAGCTCCCACCTACTAACTGACTGTTGGGGCAATTATGCGAATAGATGAAAACGTCAGCGATCCGGAGGTGGTGGCACGCATCAACATTGGGTTTCCGCAGCTGAAGCCATCGCGATCGGCACAGTTAAAAACGCGTCTGGAGCATCTAAAGGCACAGCGTGCCAGCAAGGAGTTGGAGCAGCTGGCGCGCAGCAACAAATGTAAGCAGCTCTTAGGTTTGCTTGATCAATTTTTGACATACTGACCTTGTGGCGTTTACAGTGCTGATCGATTTGGATAAGGTGCAGGAAGCCTATGTGCAGACAACGGGCCAACATGATCTGCGCCTACTGGCCGATCACTATGGCATCTTCGAGCATCTGTTTGGCAGCGCCTACTTTGTACCGCGCGTGCCGCTGAGCATACGCTATGAGCTCAATGCCAACACCTTTAGTCCCGTCTACAATGGCAATGTGCTTAAACCCGCAGAGGTGGTTAAATCGCCTTTGGTCATCTTCAACGGTCAGCTGGATCCCGTAACGGCCAAATCGGCGCAGGGTGACAGCTACTGGACCCTGCTGGCCACAAATCCCGATGCACACTACACCAATCCTGGGGCCGAGTGCCTGCACTGGTTTATGTACGTTTCCAAAAGCGCAGCTTTTCTTGTTCATCACTCTATTTAAATTATATGCACATATTTATAATAGTGGGAACATACCAAATGGCAAGGTCGGCGAGGGCGATGTTCTGGCCGACTATCTGCCGCCCTTTCCACCCAGGGGCGTGGGCTATCAGCGCATGGTCTTTGTGCTGTACAAGCAGCAATCTCGCCTAGATTTGAGCGCACACAAACTGGCTGCAACGGACTACAACAATCTGGAGAAGCGCACCTTTAGCACACTGGACTTTTATCGCCAGCACCAGGATGAGCTGACACCGGCGGGACTGGCCTTCTACCAGACCAACTGGGACGAGTCCCTCACACAGTTCTATCACAATGTTTTGCGTAAGTTGGTCAGGCAATAGCAATTGCATTTGATTTTAACCAGATGTGGTCTTTTGCAGAACTTAAGGAACCGGTGTATGAGTACGACTATCCGAAGCCATATTTAGCGGATCAGAAATTCTTCCCGCTCAGGCAGCCATTCAATCTGTACATGGACAAGCATCGTGATAGCAAGCAGTTAAACAAGGAATACCTCCAGCGCAAGCTGTCCCAAACGCATCCATTCGAGGGTCCAGAGCAGCCGCTACGCTTCCCCAATGCCCATCCCATACGCGATGTGCCATCCTGGCTAAAAACTGAGATACGCAAACGGCGACTGGGCACCGGACGCGTTCAGGATTACTAAACCCAACCAAGTCCACCAAATGCACAGCTGCTCGTTCACATTTGTTAGTCGCATAATTTTTGTTGTTTTTTATTTTATTTTGATTAACAAGTTCATTTCTTTTGCTGGAAGTACATGGAATTGAACGTTGCGCTCCCACAAGTAACATGCCGAGTGAATCGTGTTTATAAATTACATAATAGTTTAAATAAATACGTACATAAATAGAGGAAAGCTAAACCTATATATATATATTTATGTAATATATCTTCTCTATGGAATTGTTTAATGCGTTTAACAAACGCCCCGCTCCAAGGCGAAGGCTTCTCCTTCTACTCGTATTTCCCGCGCTCTATCTCCCTCTCTCTCTCTCTCTCTCTCTATTTGTGTTGCTCTAATTAAATTAGTTTGTTAGTTCTGTTTTTTTGCTTGCATTTTGCAAGAGCTGATTAATTTGTGTTAATTTGTTTGTTTGATTTTTTGGCACAGTTTATATATGTCATATATGTTTCTCATAAGTACTCGGGGTCACCTGCTTTGACTTAGCCTAAAAACAATTTGCAACCGGAAATTCTCTGGGGCCTAGGTCTGGGCTTTGCCATAGGCGCCCACAGGTGGCCTATACATGGCCGGCAGCATAATCACCTGAGGCAGATTGAAGGCATACTTGTGCTTGCCAATATTCTTGTAGACATTATCCATGCGTGTGCCCTCGCTGAAAGACGAAATACGATCGATTAGTTTAGAAAAGGCTGGACCGGAGCAGTTCAATTTGATTTGGATAGAGTATACAACCTGCGCATGGTGCTCAGTGCGAAGGGCACATGTTTAGCCGGCAGCTGGAATTCACGCACCAGGACACGGCATTGTTCCAGGGTGACGGCCATGCCGGTGCGATCCTTGGCACTCTTGCAGGACGTAAAGCGCAGTCCGCCCATCAGACGACAGGCATCCTCGGCTAAATGCAGTATCTTTACGTTTTTGGACACATTGGCGCGCAGCTGTTGCTCCATATAGCCGAGCAGCGATTGCAGCGACTCCCATTCCGATGAGCTGGCATCTGCCGCGCCCGTCGCATTCAGGCCCAGCTTGCGGTAGCGACTGAAGTACTGGCTCAGCCGCACATAATTGTCCAGATTGGAGCGATGCTGTTCCCGTGTCTGGCCCAGCGTCGCCTTCTCATTGATGCCAATATTGAAGAAGACGGGTGTGATTTTAAAGCTAATTGTTGTGGTGGGCAGCACGTGCTCCGGCACGGGCAGCAGCACCTCCAGTGCCTGGCGCGAGCCCGTTATGCGCGGCATGGGCGTCACCTCGCCCTGCGCCGCCGGCACCAGCGTAAAGCTGACCGCCGACAAATCTTCAATGGCTATGCACATGTCGCTCCACATATCCGTCTCGGAGCCGTACAGCGACAGCAGACCCTCAAAGTACGCCAGCGGGCCGAGCTCGCGCAGCAGCGACAAATAGGCGCTATCCAGCTCTCTGCCCCACAGCCGGAGCATCAGGGCGCTGACCAAAGCCGTCAACTGTGCGGGATCAGACCAATGTCCATGTCCATATCAATTAAATACTATTATTAGAGTTTTTATCAGTAAAGCTATAAAGCTATAAACTATCGACCTGACTGGCTCATCGATCTATCGATCCTGACTGAATGTGGCTACTGCGATTTATTTATCGATAACTCCCCCAAGCAGTCAAAAATCGATAAATATTGGCATTTATCGTTGATCTATAACCAATGCGAACTTGAATCAAAAACTAGGTTGATTATGTGCAAAAACAGGTTAACGGACCGCACCTCCAGGTAGGCAGTTTGTTCGAATCCTAAACTGAACTATTGACAATACTTTTATACCTTTGCAGAGGCTATTATAACTTTGTCGTGAAATGTGTAACGCATAGAAGCAGACATCTCCAAACCCATAAATTATATATATATTCTATGCGAAGTAGTCTCTCAGTTTTAAAGCTATCGTCATGAAACTTTGCAGAAGTCCCTCTTTTTGTTCCACGCAGTACATATGTCGAAACCAGTTGGATCGGACCACTATATCATATAGCTGCCATAGGAACGATCGGTCGAAAAGTAAGTTCTTATATGAACAACTTTTTTCTTTATCAAGATATCTTGACCTATCTCAGCATTTTTTAGTTTTACTATGCTCCTCATATATATGAAAAATCCTAACAACATCGGACCACTTTATCATATAGCTGCAATAGGAACGATCGGTCGAAAATAATGTTGTTGTATAGAAAACTTTTTTATTTTTCAAGATATTTTGACCAAACTTGGCATTTAGAGACTTCTCCATTCTCCCTACATGTATGCAAAATCTTATTTAAAGCGGACAACTATATCATATGGCCGCCATAGAAACGATCGGTCGAAAAGTAGGTTCTTATGAAAAACTTTTTTGTTAATCAATATATCTTGACCAAGCTCGGCATTTAGAGATTTCATTATGCTCCCGTCATTTATGCAACATCTTATTTACATCGGACCACTATATCATATAGCTGCCATAGGAACGATCGGTCGAAAATTAAGTTGTATGAAAAACTTATTGTTTTTCAATATATCTTAACCATACTCGGCATTAACTATTTTCCCTGTGCCTATTAGATACGGGCAAAGCACTATGAGCATTATGAAAAGGTTGGGTCTGCAAGGGTATTAAATCTTCGGCGTGCCGAAAATAGCCCTTCTCTCTCGTTTTGGTTTACATTTGTATTCCTAGTCGCTTGCTACAATGTACACAAACAAATGTTATTCCCATCTTGAAATAACACTTGATGATGTTTGTAGCCTTATCTTTTGGCAGGCCTATAGCTGTAGTTAAAGCATAGATTCTTACCGCCTGCGAGAAGCATACATCCCGTCGGTACATGATGCTCGCCTGGAGGCGATTGCAGCGCACATCCTGCTGCAGACGCTGCACGGAGTGCATGAGCCGGGCCGTTTTCAGCAGACGATCCATGGCATGGCGTAGCTTACGCATGCTGGGACGGAGTTCACCCACCCAGTCGGTGGTCAGCGAGAGATCCAGGCCGTCGGTGAATTTGTTGCCCTTCTTGGGTGCCGGTGCCGGCAATGTTGGTGCAGGTGCCAGATCTGGTTTCAGCTGCTGCGACGGCGGAGCCGTGGGCGCGGCTATCACATCGGGCGCCTGCTGGGGCGCCACCGTGAAGCCCTCGCGCTTTAACGGCACTTTGGGATGCCGCAACCGGATGGCAGGACTGTCGCAACGGCCACAAAAGAACTTCAGCTTGCTGACCAGACACATGACGCTTGCCTCAATATTTAGCTGGGTTAGGTCAAGTGGCTCCGGCTCCTCGGTGGGCCGATAGTAGTTCGCCGACGGCGAGGAGCTCATCAGCTTGGTGTCCAGGAAGCCAGCCGGCGGCTGGGATGCCTGCGCCAGTTCATCCAGATCGATTAGCTGCAAAGGCGGCAGCGCTGTCGCCGACTGTGTGGGCACGCCCTGCCAGCTGGGTGGCAGCGATTGATATGTGGCCTCGGCCTGCAGCTCACTGCATTGAGCCTCCTGGGGCACGGCCTGGTGCTGTTCGAGGGTGCGCAGATGCGCATTGTAGCACTTGACCACATGCTGCAGCGTGTCAATGGCATTGATGTCCAGCGAGCTGGAGGGCGACGAGTTGCTAGGATGCCAGCTGTTGGAGCGCATCAGCGGCTGCCCACGTGGCCACAGATCCGGTGGCGCCACCACGGGCGTAGCGAAATCCTCCAGTTCCGGTGATTTTAGCTCTAGTGCACTTAGCTGCTGGGTGATCTTGCGGAACGGCGACATGGGCTCCATGAGCACATTGTCCGGCTCCTCGATAATGCGATGACACTCAATGAAGGTCACCGCCTCCTCCACAATGCTCGGCTCCCAGATGTTGAGCAGCGTTCGTGTTTTGCCCACCATCTCGTTGCACAGCGGCATCATGTCTCGGGCACTGCGTCGGCTCGCCAACTGCAGCAGCTGGGACATCAGCTCGACAATCTCCTTGCGCAGCTGCTTTGTGGCCTGGACAGCATCGTTGGCCGCCTGCACTTTGCACGCATTGCTCTGCTCCAGCTTCCATGCCTTGCTCTCCTGCAGCAGCCTGTCAAAAGCAAAACAGAAGACGCTCTAATTGAAGGATTTCATATCGATTCACAAATTCAAGATCAACAAATTAGGGGCATTTTATTGCCCGGCATTACCAGAGGTTTAGTTTTCCACACAATATTTCACACTTTTCCATGTAGCACTCTTTTTAAAGATGTTTAAGGTTTCAACGATTTCTCACACATTTTCCACCCTTATGGGTGAAATATTTCGAATCCCTGTCTTACTCCCACTATAATTTCTGTTCTTTCAAGATAAGGGACCTTTTATTGCCCGGCAGAGCTTTAGTTTTTCACAAATTTTTGGGTTTTTAAAAAGTCTGATGAGGATTGAACAGGGAGGTTTTAGAAAGATCTATGCCACCTGATCTGGCATTTGAACCGGTTCGGGAGCGGATCTACCATTTATTTATATAAAAATAACAACCCTTTGAGGGAGAACGGGAAATTGTAAATTAAGAAGAGAATTATTTTACGAAATAATCTCTATATATAAAACTGTTTGTCCTGACTGACTGACTGACTGACTGACTGATTGGTGATCAACGCACAGCCCAAACCGTAAGAGCTATGAAGCTGAAATTTTCACTGTAGTTACCTTATGTGATGTAGTGTGGAAAAATCGCGAAAAACGTTTGTATGTAACTTTTTTGTTTACCATCCGATCGGCCTCAAACTTATTTTCAAAGATCTTTGTTCAAATTCATCTGAGGGGTGTTTCACACTTTTAGGAAAATCCATTCCTCCTTGATGGAAATGGAGGTCAAAGATTTGGCGGATGACGTTTCGCGCTCAAATTCATTTAAAAGATATATAAGAAAAATCATTTGAGACGTGTTTCACACTTTTCGCAGAATCCAAACTTTTCCAGGTGGAATGCGACTTAAAGAATTTTTGTGCGAAGTTTTAAGTTGTGTCCGTTTTGCTTCAAACTTATTTTCAAAGCTCTACATAAGAATGTAATAAATACGTGTTTTAGCGATTTGGGAATTTCCACTCGCAACAGTGGTAAATTGGCGGAAAACGTTTGTATGAAAGTTGTTTGTTAACCGTCCGATCAGTTTCAAAATCATTTCAATTTGTTTGAGAACATTGATTTTATAACATACGTGCCACGGGCAAGGCCAGGTTATACCCGCTAGTTGAAAATATACGAGGAGCCAATATTTGAATCTGAACCTGGGTACGAACCGAACCCAAAAGCATGGAAGCTGGTTCGAACTGTGATCCGAGCCATTTTGTTAGCAGATTCTAGCGTTTGAAAAGCGCAAGCGGATACTCACTTGATGAGGCCGCCGCACTTGCGACCCTTTGCATCGTGGCGCGTAAAGGCGCCGACAGTGACAATGTCCAGGACGCCCCGGCGCTGCAGTGCATCATTTTGGGCCCACATACGCTGAACGTGCAGATTGACGGGCAGAAACTCGAGGGCCTCGTCCGTTTTGGCCGCGGAGCGTTTGTAGTGAACGCCGTCGCGCATCAGCTGCTGGATGTTCTGCTTGGCCTGCGAGTAGTCCTTGAGCAGGCGCAGATGCTCCTCAAGCAGATTCATTTGACGCCAGCGCCACTCGCCGCTCAGCTCGCCCATGCCGGAGATCTCCTGCAGCAGCTCCTTTTCGCGCTGTATCCAAATGGAGAGCAGCTGCTGCGGCACCGCGCAGCACAGTCGCGACTCCAGCAGCGTCTCCAGCACACTGATGTCCGCGCCCAGCGACGAGTGCAGACGATACGAGTGCTGGTAGGGATTGACGCAAACGCGCCCCACTCCACACTGCTGTGGCACAAACAGGCGCACGCCCAGCTTCGGTGGCAGCGATTGAGTGCGACGATGTCCTAAAGAAGGGCAAAAGCATAGCGTTAGCTATGATATAAATATATAAGATATAATCGCACCCTTTTGCCTCGTGGTTTTGCTGCTGCTGCTGTTGTTATCCGTGGCCTGCTGAAAGAACTGTGTGCTGGAGCGCGGCGGCGTTGGCTGCGTCAGGCCATTCGTTGTCCTTTCCGGACCGCTAGTCGGGTTCAATTCGTTGGCAGCCTCTGGCGCCCAGGAGGCAAGCGTAATGAAGCCGCATTCACCGCGCGGCGAGCTCAACGGCAAGCGCAGCCGTGTCGCATCCTGTATAACGCCCAGCGCCACCTCGGCATGGCCCAGGGGCAGCGATGTCAGCGAGACGCGCTCCCGCACATCGTGCACACTGAACCGCAGACGTGTGGATGCCTTAAAGCCGGCGCTGCGCAGGAAGCGCATGGTGCACAAAAAATGCGGTGCGCGTTCGCGCTCCAGCAGCTCGGTGCGCGCATGCTGCCGCCAGAGGCAATCCTCGCCAGGCTGCAGCACCGAGCAGATGACACGCGGATTCGGCGGACGTCCGAAGCTGTCCAACGGCAGATTATCACAAGAGATCGCCGTCTCGCAGATGGGCAGCTCAGAGAGCTCCAGATCTGCAACACGAACAGTAACAGAATGGTATGTGTGGAAATTAAAGGGATTTAGTTGTGGGATCTACGACAAATGGAAATTCTATGGTCTACGTAAAATAAGAACAACAAATCAATTGATTACATTTTTATAAACAAAATAAAGTTTATTCTTCGAATAAAATTCATTTCTCTCTCTCTCTCGCTCGCTCTTTCTCTGCCGCAACGAATCTGTCTCTGACTCTACATATCCAAGTACACGTGTATATATATACATATATATATGGATATACTTTATATATACATACTACTTGCTGATAGAGTTTAGAAAAATTTAATTGCAAATTTGTTTTTTTTAAAGCTGAGATGAAAAAATAAAAGAAGAAATTAGCTCAATCGGGCAATTTGACTGTCTAATATCTTGCTTACAATCTATAAATTCATAATAGAGCCATACAAATATGCTCTAATGACACGTGCTTCAAATAACTGTTGAACATTATCAACACTGATTTAATCCAATTAATCAAGCTTAAGGCTTAAAGCTCACCTATCTTCCACCTGTTATCCTAACCTCGCTTTACTATTTATAAGCTCAGTTCTACATTTTTTTTATTTCAATTATTTATAATTTTAGTTCTGTTCACTATTAGCAGGCCTGAATTTTATACTATTCCTCTGTCACTTTAATCGAATGTTAAATATACTCTTTAAACAATATACATAATAAAAAAAAAGTGAGTCCAGCTTTAAATGATTGGGTTCCTATTGAGATCTCATTTAAATTCGTTTCACTTAAATTCGCATCAGCTAAAATAAGAAAAAGCTTTAAGCTTTTTTACGGTTTGGCATGAATGCAATTTTTTGACTTGTACACTATTTCGTTATAACTTTAATCTGAAAGCTTAGGGCTTAACATATTTCCCCTGTGCACTCCTTAACTTCAGTTTGTTTACATTTTTTAAACACATTAATCAAATACTAATTAAAGTGTGATTTGAAACTAATAATAAAGCTTAAAGCCTCACTAGTGGACTATTATTCCTCTTTCCCTTTAAACAGTTATACTACTTTCAGCAAGTGTCATTATAGCATATTTTCTGCAATCTTTGGTTTCGTTCGGTTAATGGCCGCAGATTGTGAATACATAACAGCCTACTAGGAACTAAATATATATATGTATAGCTATTGATGCAAATGTGGGGAAGATGGGGAATAGTATTGGTTAACTACACAAACAGTTTTAGATTTGTGTGTGTGTGTGTGTGTGTTGATTAAGTCGTGTGCAACTGTGCATAGAGTATTGGAAATGAGGTATAAAAATTGGAGAAATTGGATTACAAACTAAATAGTTGAAACATTGACCATGGCTAATTTCTTTGGATTATTCGTGGTTAGTTGACGGGCAGCCAAAAAAGAAACAAAAATATTTCAAACAAACAAACAATTTCCAACATGGCAGTCCAGCTTAGAACTGTATTAGATCACCTTCAAAGGGCGCCTCTGCCGTTGCGCTGGGTGCCGACGCCGGCCAGGAGTCGGGAAACATGGAACTTGGCAACGGCAGACCCTGATCAATGCGATTGCCCATGACTGTGCCGGTGACGGCGGCTGCCGTCCGCTTGGCCGCTGTGGCCGCCGCAATCTGCTCCTCCAAATGTTTGATTTGCAAGTCGATCTGTTGATGGGAACACGCCTCGATGCTGCGCACCCAGTCAAGACGATCCGCTGCACTGTGCGTGACGATGCGTTGCGAGGGGCTGTCCTTAAAGTCTATAATACAAATGTTGTCTGTGATTAGTTGGCCAACTTAAGGGACGTATATGCATGCTGCGCCTTACCTAGATCAAACACGTAGCCCTCCAGCTCGGGCTGTTCATGGTGTATGCGTGGGCGACAGTCCTGCAACACCAGTACACCAGCGACCGAGGATTTTGGGTTCTTGTCCTTCAGATAGAACAGCAAATTGCCACGCAGTTTGCACCAGCATTCCAGTTTAACTGTATTCGGAAGCGCAGGAGCGCAAGAGAGAAATGGCAAAAGTGCATAAGCAAAGAGGTGGAGTGAGTGGAGTGAAGAGCGTGGAATAGCGACTGATCTATGGTGGGAAGTTCCAGTGTGAGTGTAAGTGTGGGAGTGTGTGTATGTGTGTGTGGGTGATAAGCATAAAACAAAAGTAATAAATGGACAAGGAACCCGCAAGTGTAGCCAAAAATAAACATGTAGTATGTGCGTGTGTGTGTGTGTGTGTGTGAGTGTGTGTGTGGGTAATTGTTGATTAAGACGCGCTTGCACTCACCATCGGTGCGCCAGAAAATGCCCTCCTGGCGCTCAGTTATAATCAGCAGACCCTCCTTGTCGAATCTGGTTGATGAATTGGTCGCCAAGCTAGCCAGCTCCGATCTATTAAAGCGCATGCTTAATGCCTAACTGGAAGCGTTCACAATGGGCAACTGGCGACGTTAATTCTGTTGGGCTTGTGTGCGGCGACAGCTGTTGGCAATTGTAATTGAGAAATTATGCGTTTGTTTATATCAAATTGCGGCTATTAAACGTATTTTATGACAATAAGTGTTTATGTTCTCTGGAAAAACTCAAGGCTGACAGCGCAACACACAATTCGCACACACACACGCAATTTGATTTAATTATAAAAATGGCTTGCCTCCAGCCGTGTCCAAAAGCGGGCACCTAATGGGCGGGCGGACACACCTTATAATAACTGTAGTTGCACGTTTAATAATTCAATAAATAATACAACGTCAAAGTGGCAGCGAAAACGGCTAAGACGAAAACGTAGAAGAATAAAGGAAGGGCCAGGGCGAGGGCCAATTCGAGGGCGCGGGCATTGCATGGACTGGCAGGTGCCGCACGTTTATGTTATGTGGAAGATGTACATACCTTCTCTCCGCTCTTCACTTGGCAGCGTTGCTTCTCTGTCGCTCTCTCTATATCTCGCTCCCTCTCTCTCTCTGTCTAGCACACACACTCAAAGTAGCACAGCTGACGTTGACAACAGCATCCCTGGCTAAGCGCCGCTTCAGGACCAACACAAAATTTTCGTATATATAGCACGTTGACCTGAACTTGAACAGCAGCCGTTCACAACAACAACTTTTGGCAATTGCACTGTTTTTGTTGACTGCCCAGCTGGCGACGCTTCGATAGCGTTATCAACTGGCGTATGCATTGACAGCCGCACTCCTGTTATCGTTTTCCTGTCGTAATTGCTTCCGTTTTGAATTTGTACAATATATTCACATAATTGCTTTAGTATTGAAAATTTACAATTTTTGGCTTGGCATTCTTAAATCTTGTATTGATTGTTCTTTGAATTTATTCAGTGCATTGAATAAATTCAATGTTTATGTTATTGCCTCTGTTAAGCCAATGTTATGGCCAGATGTTTGCTTACAGGGCTGGCGATACTAATATTTATTGTAGTTCACGATTAAATAGATCGATAGCAAAACTGTTTCTGTTTTTCGTATTAAAATAATGTGATATGCATTGCTATCTGATATTATCCGTAAATATAAACTGGAATTTTTATATAGCAATAAATATATATTTATTTTTTATTACATTCATGTCGGCTACAAGCAAACAATTTGCGAATTCGCTGCGCAATAATTATTCTCAAGATCAGTTCATATATCAAACTAATTTAAAAATTAACTTAAGTTAAGATATATTATTTCTGAATAAGATCATATTAATAAATTTTTTTTCAAATTTATATGTTAACTTCACAGTGACATTTTAATCTTAACATTATGTTAATTAACGGTTTTATGATTAGAATATTACAAATTGTGCAAGTAATTAATTAAAAATGACAATTTGTAAGCGTGGGACATTTTTGTTGTGTGAAAATATATATGTCATATCATATATGTATCGGTTTCAGCAAAATCGGTAATATATATCAGCGCATAGTGTAATTATTGTATCATTATGTAAAAATGAGGGCTGTAAGAATTGTTTTTTTTTTATATACATATAAATCAGCTTCGAAGGTTGCTATTACTTTATGTCACTCAGTTATTTGTTTTCGGTCTACATATATTTTATAGTTTTTTTACATATTTTTTTATAGAAAATTAGAGGTAAGTCTTCTAAATTTTTCTTAATGTAAACTCTTACAAGATCAGATTGATCGTACTGTTAGATTAATCGATATTACTTGCATCACAGTGGATCAATTTCTGGCTCGCAGCCAACTTAACGCGACTGACGTATGCGTTCGCAGCCAACTTAGCGCGCAAAACAGCTGTTCGTGTGGTGAATACGAATAGCCGATACTGTTTCACATTCGTAAAATGGCGTCGGAGGTAGCGGTTGAACAACAAGACCAAGAATTTGTAAGTGTACAAAAAGAGAATTGTTGAACCAATTGGATAGATACATATATGCTAGTAACAAAATGACACACGCCCTAAAACAGTGCAAAATGATGTGTGTAAATGCAGCAGAGCAACAATAAACGACACGAATTGCGTGCGTGTTCTCAACGGTGCGTGTGTGTGTGTGGGTGTGCGTGCACTCGTGTGTGTGTGAGTGTATCGAGCGTGTATTGCAATGTGTTTCATCAAAATCTGTTGCGGTGTTCGGCTATTGCAAAAAACTGTGTACATTCTTAAATGTGTATGTGTGAAGTATGCTAGCACGTGCTATTTACAAATAAAAATCATAACAGCAGGGCCCACGATGCTAAGCAATACATTCCTTTACAGTCGCCCACTGTGCTATCGGTGTTATCAGACAATAACAACACAACAAAAAAAAAACAAAAACAACTGGCGTGGGGAAGTGGAAGCTAAAGTATGCGTTTGCGTGTGTGTGTGTGTGTTTTTGTGGTTGTATTGCTTTGCTTTGCGTGGTGTAGCAAGTGGTTGCAACAACAAACGCCACACGTTCATGCCGTTGCTCTTGCTCTCTCACTCTGTCACGCCGTGGTAAATCGTTGCTGTTATTATCGCTGTTAATTTCTCGCTCGCGCTGCATTTAGTAGGGAAAGTGATTTCCGTTGGCTGCACTTTTGGTTGTTGTTGCTGCTCTTGCATTTTACACTGCCTGTTAGGTGATGAGCGCTCGCAAAACCAGTTTACAGTTAGTGCAAATCTATAAAGATCTCTGGTCCTCTTGCCTATCTTCCCCTCTTTTGCTCCCTGCACCCCCTCTCTTGCATGCTCAAAATAGACTTCCTCCAGCTGACGCAGAGTTCATTGTTTGCTTAATCGCAGCAGCGACGAGCTGAGGCGCCAGTTATTGTAACTGGAATGGGCAGTGTTGCCGACCTTGCACGAAGCTGCTTGAAATTCCAACGCGCACACGATATTCACACCATAGCCACACACACATGCGCACACGCACACACACACGCAGCCGTACCTGGTCCAGGGCAGACAAACTTTTGTGTATTATTGATGCGCATTTTGTTTATATATTGTTTACTTATTTTCCGAAGGCGCCAATGCGTCCATTTATGTTCGGTTCCATTGAAGTGCCTTCAATTTGATTCCGTTTCGCTGGAATTTTGTTGCTTTTTTAATCTGCCCAATTTCAAAGTAAAATCTACGCAATTTCCCACTTATTTGCGAGTTTGTTTAGAGCGCATTTCATTCATTCATTTATTCCCCAGCGAATTTGTTTATACTCTACCACATGCAGTGCATATGCATGCATACATATATTAAGTTTATCTTCAAATTATATGTTCATTTTCTTCAATGTTGATCTTTTGAAATACGCTTAGCATTTGCACTCGACAGGTTGGATTTATTCTAATATATAGCCCCAATCGAACAATCAGTTGAATCAATCGTTATTTTTCGTTTTGTATTTGCAAATTTATCTAGATCACCATAGTCTAGACACAATAGTATTTTTTTTCTGGTTTATAAAATTTAAATGATAGCATAACATTATAAACAATGGTATTAAATCATTGACATTTTGTCTTAGTTCATTGGCATTTTTTTTTACTCCTTTTTTCACCTATATTCCGAAAAGTCTGAAATACGTTTTAACTACATTTTCCTAGCGATTTTTGAATATAAGTTTGAACTTGATCGGATGATAAGCAAACATGTTACATAAAACGGTTTTCCTCTGATCTCTAGCTTTTTGTTTTTATTTTTAAGAAAATCTGTTTATAATAGTTAAAATGGTTGTATATATATGTATGTGTGTTTAAGAAGCTAAGTTACACATGAATGTAACGCTGATTTAGAGCTAGATGTAATGGAAAAGAGTATCTTTTGAGTCGAGCACTCTTGATTCCTTACTTGTATACCCTTCCATCTCCAGCTATCTTCCAAAATTTACGCACGTCTTTTTTCGGTAGACAAAGTCCGTTGGATCGGTCTAGTAATTAAGTTTTTGAATCAAAAAATGTATATTTTTTATAGTTTTTTTTACCAATGTATGTTACCAATTTAGAATACTCTTTTGTCACTCAGGTCGGAATTTATCAGGGCTACAAGCCCAAAAAATTGTACAGCGACTATTTAGAGTGATGTTTTTTAAAATGCAAGTATCCAGGGCTTAATTCAAGCTTTGGATTCTCTTGAATTCTCAAAAGAGTATTGACAGAATTCGTGCATTTTTCTTTTTTAAATTGGGAATTCCGAACATGAACCGGTTCGGTTCCCGATCCCTTGGAAACCATTTTCTTTTTAAACGAAATTCCTCAGATACTGAAACAAATAACATAATGGGGCTACAAATAATATTTTGCTAAAATATTTCAATATATAGCCGAACGTATTACATCAAGGGGATTGAATAAGATTTCAATAACAATATGGATATGTACTATATGCATATGGATATGCACGCTTGTGTATGTATTTTGTTATTGCACAATTTGTGTATATTTTGTGTGCATAATTGATTTCACTTGAACTGCAATTGCATAGCGTATTGTTGTGTTGCATGTTCGTTAAGGCTCGCTGAATAAATCAAATTGCTCATAAAAAGAGGCAGACGCCAGCCCCTAGTTGAGTGTGTGTGTGTGCGTGTGCCTGTGTGTGTGTGTTGTTATGAAATATTTGTGTCCCATTGCATTTACTGGTTGTTTATCCTTGTGCCCGGACTCTGAACCCCAATGCTGCCACACAATGGGGCAGCTAGAAAAAGTACAATAACCTTTTTGGCACCCAGGGTGAGGGTGTGCGCAGCTAAGGGTCGTGCCGTGGGTGGCTAGGGGGTGGTGGGTAGGGGTGTAATGCACTTTTTATACCCCGCACCCAGAGAAAATAGATATGAGGGATAACAGACTAAACAAGGCAAGGCATATATATTCTTGATCAGGCCGACAAGGTGAACTCCCCTTCCTTTCATGAACTCCCTTCCTTTCATTAATATCGATAACTATCGATTTAAGTTAAAAGTCCTAAAAGCATATCTTAGCGATTCTGGGAACTAGAATATACACAGACTAAAAATATATCACCTTTTGTTGGACTTCGGTACGGGATATAGGATCGACTGCTGATAGCTGGTTACAGGGTATCTATTCGTCTCTTTGAGTAAACTATTTTTTTCAGCCTGATGCTGCGACCACTTTTCATTTCGCTTGCCTTTTGCTGCGGCTTCTGACTGATTGACTGACTGACTGACTGACTGACTGACTGACTGACTGTTTTCCTCATTTGCGTTGATTAAGCCCTCGAGCTGCTTTCAGATAACAACAATAACTTTCATAAAATACATATTTCCATATACTTATATATATATATACATACATATATCTGTACATACATACGGCATGTAAAAACATGAACAGCCTGACTGCCACATACTCTGTTCACAGCGTAACAATAGATAAAAGGCAAAGAGTTTAAAACTGTGAATATACAAATTATAGTTTATAGACTCTACAGACTTGCGGGTATTGACAGTAATGCAAATGTTATTACACCAAGGCTACAATTCAGTCTGAACCTAGTCGGTTCGAGTCGACAATTCCAATTGATGTCTTACTATGAACCGAACCAGTTGCCCAAGAAACAAACGATCCAAACTAGAGTCAAACTAGATTTTTCTTGAGAACTGATTTGGTACAAAACTTTTGAACTAAAATTTTGGAAAACAAGTGAAGTTTTGAACCAAAAACTTGCTACATAGTTGTGTAAAACCAGGTTCGCGAAAAGAAGGGAGCTGGTTCGACTTATGAACCGAGCCAACGTTTATCAACGTTTGTTGATATGCAGCCCTGGTGTTGACTTTACTGAAACTGAAACTGCGGAACAAGTTTCGAGGCGGGCATTGTGCAAAATCCATATACTCTGTTTCACTAAATGAACAGAGTATAAAACAAAATGCGATGTGCAGCAAACACACACATATGTGTGTGTGTGTGTAGTTGAAAATAGGTCAGCACGCTGCGGCCGTCGCTATCACTAGCAAACACACACACACACACAAAAGTCGCAGCTCCAACAATTCAACATGCACACACACACACACACACACACTGTGAAGGCAGCAAAATAGAGCAGCAACCACCCGACCAAAGCCCAGGCCCCTCTCTGCTCATTCCCCTGTTGCTGGGCCTAAAACCCCAAGCCAAAAAACGGAGCCCCATTCCGGGTCTGTCTGGGGGCTAAGACGCTGCGCTCAGCACTCAGCACTCCGCGCCCATCGCCCAGGGCCTAAATGCTTAGTCACTCCACCTAGGCGAAGTATTCAAAAATAAACAAGCCAAATTGAACCAAAATTCAAACAGCGTCAACTACAACGAATACCGCAATACTCTAAAGTCCACATCAAATTGGTTATATAGTTGGTAAACAGGATAAATGACAAATATTTAGGCATCTAGTGTTTCAGGGAGGGGAATTACATAATCATGATTTAATTAAAAACAAAATACAAATTATCCCTTAACTATAATTAAGTATTGCGCATACAATTGAGCATTTCCCACAACCCCAAAGTCAAATAAGTAATATTCTGTATCGTACGCAACTTGAAGAGGAAATTCGTTTAATAGTTTAAGTAAATAGAATTTCAGTCTTATTCGATTCTTATGCAAACAAGATATTATTCGTTTGCTTAAAGAATTTTTCAGGAAACCTATAAAAGGAAAAAATGTACTGAAAGCTTTGTCAACAAAAGTGCATCAATGAAAAATAATCCTGCTCAATAAACCCAATAATTGAGTATAAACTAGAATAAAGTTGAGTTTTTTCATGTCAGAGCTGCAAACCCAACAAAAAAAGTCACTGGTTCGGTGCATGGTTTGAACCAACTCTCTGCCTCTGGGCAGATTCCAGATTCTAGTTTTTGGTTCAAACTTTTGTTTTTCGCGTTTTTTTTTTTAAATTTAAATGAAAAATTTTAATGTTTCTGAAAT